GTGACCGTATGCATCGTCCAGATGCAGAGGCCGGGGATCATCCTCCTTTTCTAAAAAAAACAACACAGCCACACAGACATACTGAAAATCAGCATCATGAGTCAGCACATGTGAAGCATCAAAGGTCGCTAGTAAAGTCAACTAGATCGTGTGGCATGTAAAGGGTGATGATTTTATTGTGAGAATAATAAAGACCCGGCCATCTACTCCGGAATAAACAAGACGCTATTGACAAAATTTTGCAGAACCATGTTTCTCAATCAAATGAGGGTTCATCTTCAAGTCCACGCTCAGAACACTTTTTTCCGCGACCGACGAGGCCGGAACTCACATACATTTCCTGACCGACGAGGCAGGATACATCATGTTAGGCCGAACAATTTACTTTAATTTTCTCCTTGAGACTTGATCTATATCCCATGTTTATTTGGTGCATGAATACGTGAATTTCTGACATGGCGAGATTATTATTTTGCTTGGAGTGCTTGCATATTTTTTGCCTTGGAGACAGAAGTCATGAGTTTGATAATGGTGATGACCGTTTGAGGCAGCTTAATCGGAGGTCTTTCATAGATATGAACCTATGAATGTAATTAACTAGAGGTCCTTTCTAGGCCCTAGGAGTCGAGAATTATGCAATTGTCTCTTGTATGTCAGATGCTATACCAAAAGCATGTAAAATGAGATTTGTATATCCTCAGCCATAAAGACTACAAGTTCCTCCGCATGATTTTGTGTGCTTTGTTTTATTTTTATTTGTATACGCTTGTATACTGGCATGCCCGCACCCTAATGGCAAAGCAGATAAATTTGACATTTTTCTCGCGTAAAACACCTGTCTATTCGGAGAAGTACCTTCGCCGCCGGTTTAGAATGTCCCTAAATTTGTTCCATCATGTTTGCAATTATATGAAGCAATATGATCGCTCATTTGAACAAAGGAGAAATGCATGTGGTATGCTTCGACACAACACTGAGCAGAAGGTTACAGCCGCATTGCGAATGATGGCATACGGTGTTCCTACGGAATTAATTGATGATAATCTGGCAATGGGAGGAAGCACTTAATCTTTGATGTCAAAGCATTTGCGAAGGCGATAGAAGTGTTTGGGGAAGAATATTTGAGAGCACCAATGCTAAAGACACTAAGAGGTTATTCGAGATAAACAAAGGTAGAGGGTTTCTTGGTATGCTTGGTTCCATTGATTGTATGCTTGGAAGTGGAAGAATTGTCCTGCTGCTTGGCATGGACAATTCAAAGGACACAAAAAGGATTGCACCATTATTCTTGAGGACGTAGTCGATCAGGAGACATGGTTTTGACATGCATATTTTGGGATGCCTGGATCATGCAATGATATCAATGTACTTAACCGATCACCTCTTTTTGTCAAGTTAGCCAATGGAGAACACACACAGGTGGAGTTCGAAGCAAATGGTCACACGTATAACTATGGTTACTATCTTGCCGATGGAATTTATCCGAAATGGGCAACATTTGTCAAAGCTGGTTGTAATTCCCCAAGGTAAGAAAAAACTTTATTTTCATAATGCTCAAGCAGCTGCTAGAAAAGAAGTCGAGAGGGATTTTGGCATTTTGCGGTCCCAATTGCTATTGTGCGAGGTCCAGCAAGGTTTTGGGACAAGAGAACCTTTGGTATATCATGACTGCATGTCTCATCTTGCATTACATGATTATTGAGAACCAGGACTACAATGTCTTTGACCTCATGGGACACGGTGTGTAGCCCTGTAGAAATGCAAACCAAATTCAGCGGTTTGTGTAGGTTTATCATTAGATTAGGGATGCCGATACTCATGTTGATCTTCAAAAAGATCTCATAGAGGAGTGGTGGACATGACATGGGAATCAATGAAGCCTTTTATCATCTTCTCATGATTTTATTGTAATAATTTGCGCTAAACTATGTTCTTCTTGCTGGATATTATGAACTTCTTATGGCCTTGGACTTTTTATTGTTATTTTATCATGTTTGAATTCAACTTATATCCATATGAGTCTTGTGTTCATATGTTTTTTGCTTGGAGGATGCCGCACGGTGGCCCTATTTTACATCACCTACTGGGGATGTGGTGCCCTAAAATACATCACCTGTTGGAGTTAGACACTTTCGGTGCCCTATAAATCACGTTTTTGGTGATGTATATTTTACATCACACTATTTTTTGTCTGCTATTTTACATCACCTATCAAAGATGCTCTAAGGGGGTCACTTGATTGGTCAGGTCTGATTTACACTTTACAGTCTTAACAATTAGAATCCGAATGAAATTCCTACAATTTTTCCCTTAATCATAGATCAAGACAACGTTTTTAACAAGAGATATCTAGTCAGTCAACTTAACGAAATAGATCAAGACAACGTTTTTACAATTTTTTCCCTTAATCATAGTAGCTTTCTGAGTATTTAACCAGATATGTAGCAGGCAATCAAATGAATACATGGAGAAGATGAATAGAATGAGGCAAAAAAAACAGCTTAGGCGTGGGGCCCTGGTCGTCAATGCAGAGCGCCTGCTGCTCCAAATCAAACAAACAAATATGTTCAGCCCACCGAGAAAGGGGGCACTATCCAAACAATGGTAGAGGTACAAACAGAGATACATTCATTCATTCAGTAGCAAAACAAACTTATTAGATAGCTAGTAGGTCAATCAATGGCACACGCATCATGCAGGCAGGAACAAATATGAATATTTTGTGTAAGGGAAACATCAAAACCTTGTTTTCGCAAGGACTAGAGAGCTCTTGAAAGTTCTGAAGAAACGCAAGGTATTAGCTATACCACCCAGTAGCACTAGCTAGAGTAGGCAACAAGCACTGATAGGGCACATATTTCGTTTAACAAAATGAGAAGAGTATCATCAGGATCACTAATGTTTGTTCCCCAGGAAATACAAAACTTCGGAATGTTGAAAGTATTCGGAATTTGAAGTATATAAGGGGATCATTTGATTGGTCAGGTCTGATTTACACTTTAGAATCTTAACAATTATAAAGCTGAGTGAAACTCCTACACTTTTGCCCTTAATCACATATCAAGACAACGATTTTTACCAAGAGATATCTAGTCAGTCAACTGAAAGAAATCTGGACAGTAGCATTCTAAGTATTTAAGCGGACATTTAGTAGGCAATCAAATGAATACATGGAGAAGACGCATAAAAATGAGGCAATCAACAGATTAGGCGCGAGGTCCCGATCGTCGATGGAGAGAGTCTGCTGCTCCAAACCAAACAAACAAATATGTATAGCCCACCAAAGAACGGGAGTACGAGCCAAACAATGCCTATCCCGTAGCAATTTCATTTAGGCGGTGAACTAGATGAGGTATAAACTGAGATGTCGTTCATTCAATAGGAAAAGCTAGTTAGTGACCATCCATCATGCACACACGCATCATGTAGGCAGGACCAAATATCAATGTTTTTATGTTAAAGATGAAACATCTGTGAAGATACGGAAAGAATTAGCTATACTTACTACCCGGTAGGACTAGCTAGCATCCAGAGCAAGCATTGACAGGAGGCACATTTCGTTTAACAAGAAAATGATAAGAGTACCATCAGGATCATTACCCTCCCTCTTGCTTATGTTTATTGTTTCTGCTTTGTGGTTGTCCTAAACAAAACCGTCATGAAAACCTGAAGAAGCAGAATAGAAAGCTAGTGAGGCGAAAACGCAGCGAAAGGAGATGGCTTGGTCTTAAAAAAAGGCTTCAACTAAGAGCTGGTTTGGCTTGAAGCTAAATGCAGCTTGTGCACATTGGTGAACATGTAAAACAACGATGATGAATGTTCAGAACAAAAGAAAGCCCGGTTTTACACAAGCAAAGATTAAAGGATGAATGTTTAGCGGCAGTGCATAAAATATGATGGGAAGAAAATGGCGCCAATTGTGGCATCAAATAGATTGACAGCAAGAATTTCTCATCTTGGGCATGTAGAGCTCTATATTATTGAACCATTCAAAACTAAACACAGCACAGCAAGCACAATACGAAATAGCAAGCGTTTAATTTCCTTGTATTTGATTGATTGGCAGCCAGTATTAACAAGTCAAATTAAATCCCAGCAGCATATGTAGTAAGGACCCCTATCAAAACTAACTAACAATTGTTCAGAGCATGTGAGATTTCTCGACAATAATAAGCTAAACAATATTCCTGTGGTGTGGAAGGAACTTACAGGAACTATGTTTCTGGTTGAAACAATTCATACACATTGGAACAAGAAATGCATCATGATGAATGCCGACTAGTATCGAGAGAACGAGTACCTGGTGCTAGGTGCCCGCGACTACGGTGGTCACATGGGTCTCATCGTCCACGAGCAGCAGCAGCCTCGCGAGGCCAAAATCAGACACCAAGCATCTGCTGAGTTGGACGATCCACGGTGAGCAATGCGCAACTCGAGCAAGGTCCTCCCGATTTATGACACAATTACGCGAGTCAGCAACTGAATCCTCGGAAGTAATTTAAAAAGAAGAGTCTGTCTAGGACACATCTTAGATGTTATGTCACATCTGAGCTAATGTCCACTCTATTTGTGGTCTCTTTTTTTTGTCTTTGTTTTTTTTTTGTTTCTTGTTGCTGCATTATGTATTTGTGGGAGTTTAGATGTGACATCCTTAAAAAATATCTAGATGTGAATTAGACAAACTGTAAAAAGAAACGCCACGAGGTTCAGTTTCAGGCTGTCCAACACCAACAGAGGAAACAGAGAGGTGTGAGGGCTGCCGGATCAAATCAAACATCAAAATGGTTGAGATTGAGATTTGAGAGTTTTGGTTGGCATGCATTTCGTCCGTGTTTCTCTCTCACTCTCGATCATCAAAAGAAAAGAAAAGAAAATACTCCACGAACGAAATGTTGGACAAATGGGCTGCATCTTCTTTTCACCACGCGACTGAACTACTCTACACGTTAGACGGGTAGAGCAAACAAGGCAACGACATGAGCATGGCCAGTGTTTCTCGATCAGGTCCTTGCTGGTGCCGACGGCATGGCAGCGGCCGTCCGCTCCAGGATTCCGGCGTGTGAGAGCAGAGCCCACAGTTGTGTCATGAACTCGCCGCCGGCGCCGAGCATCTCGGCGTGGATGTCCACGTTGTCCGACGGCGCGAGGAACAATATGAACTCGGCCCAGAACTCCGCCAGCACCTTCCATCGCCGCCCTTCGTCGGGCACGGACGCCCTGAGCTGCCCGCCGAGCACCGCCGCCTTCTCTATGATACTGCTGCTGCCGGCTCTCTCGTACAGGCTGCCGCCCTCCAGGTAATTCTCCTCCTTGCTCTGTATCTTATCTAGCCGGTCGAGGATATCGGCCTTGGTCCGACAGCCGTCGAGGTGGACCCTAGCCTGCCGCACCGCCGTGTCGAAGATCTGCTCGGCGTTGTAGCTCGGGTCCGGCAGCATCTCCGGCACGAAGGCCACCAGGTAGGCGCAGTAGTTGGACAGCTTCCTCGCCACGAGCCTGTGGTCGTCGACACCGTCACCCCGAGCATCGACAGTATCACCACCACGGCCGCTAATCCACTTGAAGCGAGTGGTGACGACGTGCCACACCAGGATCTGGTCGGTGACCTTGGGTAACCTGCACGCCCATGTCAGCTGCTGCGACAGGCCGTGCCTCTGCACGGTGGCGACGCCATTGGTGAGCTCGCCGCGGCTGGCCTTGAGCGAGGCGAGCACGGCTCGCTTGACCTGCTGAGGCAGAGCCTTTCTGCTGCCTTTCTTCTGGCCCTGCCGCCGTGGTTCCACCAGGTAGAGCGTGACCCACGACCGCACGTTCCACGGCCGGTGGTCGTACCAGTGCAGGAGCACGTACTGGCCGATCTTCTGCTCCCAGTAGGTCGTCGCCGGCGGAGTGATGCTCTGTTTCCAGCACCAGAGGTGGCCGTGCCGCTGCTTGGTCCAGGGCCGGTCGTCGCGCACGCAGCGGTACACGGTCATCACGTACCGCCAGTTGTTGGAGAAGGCGGCCAGCGCCTGGCAGACCTCGAGCCCCGCCGTGATCACCACGAGCACCACCGTGACGGAGCGGTCGAGGTCCTTCACGCCCACGTGAGGACGGCTGTAGCCGGGGCCGAGCGTGCCGACGAAGGCCGTCCACATTGTGAGGCTGAGCATGACGACGGCGATGAAGATGTAGGTCCTGACCCCCACCGGGAGGATGTTCCTGGTGTAGAAGAAGTCGTAGAGGAAGGCGAGCTCCGCTTCCACGACCCGGAAGGCGGCGTCAGGGCCGGTGACGGCGTGGTGGATGAGGCCGGTCAGCACGAGGTCCAGTGACTTGGGCGAGCCGGCTTCCGCGGGGCTGTACCCGAAGAACCGCCGCTTCAGCAGCTTGAACAGCGAGAAGGCCAGGCAGAAGTCCTTGGTCATGTCCTTCTCGGCGTCGCTGTATGCCTGGCGATCGATCCACCGGTAAACTTGATCGATCGTCACGACCCCCTTCACCTTGGCGGGGGCGGGGGCGGAGCTCGTCGTCGCCGTCAGTATCGAGCTCGTCGTCCTCGTCAGCGCCGAGCTGGTCGCCGTCGTCATCAGTATCTCGTCCTGGGAAGAACGGGGTTGGTGGATCAGCTGCCGCTGGATGGCCTCCTCGCCGTGGAAAAGGTACTTGTACCCCTTCATGGTGGCGGGGTCGTGCGGCAACTGGTCGGCGGCTAGGAAGTCCTCGACGTCCATGTACTCGGCGACGACCTTCACCGACGGGTCCGGGAGGCTGGACCGGACCATCTCGACAATCTTGGCGGTCGTCTTGAGCACGCTGAGGCTCCAGAAGGCCCAGATGGCCGCTCGGTAGCTGGCGTTGGCGCCGATGGCCTTGAGGATGAGCCAGAGCACGAGCGCCGTCTGGAGGGCGTGCTGCAGCAGCAGCTTCTTGCGCTGGTCGACGTCGCGGCGGCTGTGCACGGGCGCCGCGTACGCGCTGGCCTGGATGAGTAGCAGCGCGGACGCCCAGAGCACGAAGGTCTGGCCGTGGAAGGGGCCTTCCTGGATGATGCCGACGGCGTAGGTGACCACGACGTAGGAGAGCGAGTAGGCGATCCACATGACGCCCCGGAGCACCCGGTCGCTGCTCCGGCGCTGGGTCGAGCCGTACAGCACCAGCGACGACAGCACCAGCGCGCTCGCCAGCACCACCACCTCCAGCCGCAGCAGCCGCTCTTCCACCGTGCCGAAGGTCTCCGTGATGCCGCCGCACCTCGCCCCATTGCTGGCCTCCATCTCCATGAATCAACTAGCTAGCGCATGCAGGTACGCAGACTAATTAACTCGAGTCCTTTTTTACCATCATCAATCGTGGAATGGAACTTGGAAAGATAGATGGTGTGGTGATTTGATACAAACACGAGAAGTATCTATGAGAAGTCAGATTGATGGAGAGAACAAGCATAAATAAATAAAGCAAAAAGGCAAACTTAATTCTTTGTGCATGATGGAAGGCAAGAATCTTCGAGTCTCTTACAGGAGTACTCCTCCTAGCAATTACTTTAAACAGATTGTTCTAGCCATGTCACAAATCCAAATTTCAAATACACATTAAGAAAAAGAAAAGACAAATCCGGCATGAATAGTGTAAAAAAATGACCAAAGTAAAAAACGAAACTATTAACATGTGGGTTTGTCTTTTTATTTATTTACTAGCAAAAGAGCCCGTGCGTTGCAACAGGAAAAGAAAATAACGTACGGCCCTAACCTAATAACCATGACTAAGACCCCAATAGATATTGCCGAGGCGTCTCTCTCGGCATTAGATGAGAATCTGCTTTATTTTCATGCAATATTTTGCCGAGGTGTACAGGCAAGGTTATCGACGGTTTCTTCTGTCTCCAATTTGGCTTTGATGGGTTGTTCATTGTAATCCGGGTCGGTGTCGATACGAAAGAAAGATGATCGCGCGCTATTGATTAAGGTTGCACCCTAAATAGCATTTTAAAAATATTTAACAGGTAAAATAACATCAGATTCATATTCTACATATTTTTCTAATCAAATTTAATATATAACATGTTAAAATTGGAGTTAGGGTTTAAAAGATGTATATTGATAAAGTATTATTTGTTCTAGATGGAATGCGGGTTAATTATAGAAAAAGGCAAAAACGATACGTTTTCTGGAGTGCGGGTTATTTACCAGAAAAAGAAGGGGGTTTTCTATAAAACAGTAAAAAAAATGTTCGTTTTCTCACTTAAATGATATAGAGGGTTAATTAACTGAAAACAAAGAGGGTCTTCTGTAAAAAAAATGCTGCTGGTGAACGGACAGAAGCAATGCATATTTTATTAATATAGTAAACATGCCCGTGTGTTCCAACGGGAGAAAAAAATTCATAATTTCGAATGGCAATGATCACATCTTACTACATCATCGATATACACTATCACTCTCATTTTTGTGAAAACATGAACAATTTTTAAAAATCATGAACATTTTTCTTAAACTCATGAGCATATTTGAAATTGTGAACTTTTTAAAATTCACGAACATTTTGTAAAATCAAGAACGTTTTCTGAATTCATGAACATATTATATGCAAACATTCTGTTTAATCGGCAAACATTTCTAGAATCGGCTAATTTTTTTTGGGGATTTGATAAAACAATTTTCTAAATTAGTGTATATTTTTGAATCAGCGTATATTTTGTGAATCAAAAACCATATATTTGAATTTATGAACAGTTTTTTATGCTATTTTCTAATACATGAATATTATTTGAATTGGCCAAATTTTGTGAAATTTTAAAACATTTTTTAATACATGAACTTTTGTAGAAAAACTCATTAATGTATGTTTATTCCCGGACATTTATTAGAAAATTTGCTGATATTTTTGAAAAATCACAAACAATTTCTAAAGCCGCAAACATTTATGAATTATTAAATATTATTTTAAAATTTCCGGTTTTAAATTTTGGAAACCTTTTTAAATTCACAAATTATTTAAAGTAGGAAAAACAATGACGGAAAAGAAAAACCAAAAATAAAAAATTGATCACCCATATATAGGCCGGCCCAGGCAAGGTGTGTCTTTTTCTAGTGCGCTGGGCATAGTATTAGATATTCTTAAATGGGCCGGCCCAGTTCGAATTTTTCTGTGTGCAACGTTTTTTATAACTTATAGGTGGCATTGGTGGGTAATTTTTTGCAACTTCGGGGGCAATTTTAATGACGTACGGGCAGAAGCACTCCGTGCTTTATTATTAGGGGAGATTTTTGCCTATGTGCACTTTTTAAAGCTTTGTAGACACATGACTTGTGAACTTAGAAACCAATTTTTTTTGAAACATTTTTTAAATGGAAGAGCATGTGCGGGGTGGTATATATAACTGGATTTTCTCCGTTGGGCCTCAAGTATTTTTCCTAGTTGTCCACACATCAGCAGAGTGAAACAGGTGGAGAAGTCAGCAAAATTAATACACCATCAAGGTTAATCTCGTAAATTTATCGATGTTCCTTCATATTGATATTGTTAAGAACATTCCACTAACTATAGAACTTCATAGCTGATATTTCATATCAATGATTATATGCTATCTCCATGCCTAATAGGTAGTACTTTGTTATCTTGGTCGCAATGCTTTTTAACAATTGATGATAATGAAGAACTAGGAAAACAATTGATGATATAGAATACCCCATTGTCACTACGAGTATCCACATGCAAGACATACATCAAGTGATGTCAAATCCAATATTCAATCCAACATAACGAAACCTCAGAGAGCAAGACTCCGTTTTTCTTCTTCCTCCTTTTGTGTTTTGGCTGTGTGCATCCGTAATGTTTTTATACATTGTGTTGTTGCAGAGGCTGGGTGTAATTGGTATCACCGGAATATTAATACATTCCCCTTGTCAAAAATATATATTGGTGATATTGAATTCATGCACCAGTCAGTTGCTTCAAAAGTTCATAGGCGTGAGATCAATGTAAGCCGCAGAATCTTTTGTTAATACTGCGTTGAAAGGGTCTTAAACTTGGAGCTCTATAGGCAATGTGGAGTTCTCAGGGCTGAGATTGGAGTTGTAGATCCTAGGAGAATACCCTCTAGTGCTCCTCTAAATGAAAGTGGTTTTATCTTCAACATATACTTTCAGCTGGAAGACATAGTGGAGGAGGGTGGTATTCTGGTTAGCTATCCTAGTGGTCCTGACTCATCTCATAACATTACAGAGAAAATACTGAGGGAGCAAAGTAACTAAGTGGATGTGGGATGTAGCAAGTCTCCCAAGCATGATACTGGGGCTAGAAAGTCGGATAAAGGAAACACTAAAGTGTCAGCATATGATGTGATTCTGAGTCAATATGAACTTGATAAGAACTTGGTTGCTAAAAATGAGGTGAGGCAAAAATTACTTGACAAAAAGCGGGATGCTGAAAGAGCTCACTATGTTGTGGAGCAAGTTAATGCTAAGTTTGCTAATAACGCTGTTATGTTGGAGGATTTCACAAAAGTGTCTGGCAGCCAAAAGGAAGAAGATTTTGATTGCACTCAAGACCTGGAAGACATTGCTAGGAGGCTTGGGATTAGCACTCAAAACTTAAATAAATCAATGCTAATGTTGAGAATAAGATGATTGTTGCGGAGGAAAATGAGAAACTGCTATTGGCGTAGGGTAATCGTAGTTAGTTGCTCTGCAGTTCCACCCAGTGGGGGTATATGTGAATGTAATGAACCTCGGTCGTGGGCCTTTTGCTTTGTATATATTTGCGTGTTTGATGCACATGTGTGTTGTGCCGGATGCCGGATCGCCTTTTGTCCTTTATCCTTAGCCCGCTTTCTCGTGCTCCCGCCCCACCAGCCAGACAGCCGGGAGCTAGTCTGTAGCTGGGCCAGGGAGTGGGCTTTGAGGGAGAGAGCACAATACTTAGGATTCGGGACTTGGGTTTCGGGCGAGTAGGCAGTGGGCCGGCTGGGTGAGCAGCCGGCCGATGCTTGGGAGGGCGCGGTGTGCGACCTGGGTCCTCCACTCTCTTCTTCCACTCCCCGCTGCTCTCCTCCCAATTCTCGCTCTTTTATCCCACCATCTCCTTCCCTCCACCACTGACGCATGGAACCGTTTGAGAACCTGTCGTAGATAGTGTCGGCGGAGGTGTCGGACGACCCGAGCATCACGCTCACCCGAAAGTCAGCTCGGTGACGCGGCAAACTCGTCGCGCCAAAGTGAAGGCCGCAAAGGAGGAGAAGCTCAAGAAGCGGCTCGCCGCCGGTGGGCCTAGTGATGCCGATGGGCGTCGACCAATCCTAGAAAAAATAAAAGAAAAAAATACAAGTGCATGCATGACCAATCAACATACAATAATTGACATGGACAGTTTTACAATATTATAACACCATCTTTTGCTTTGTAATTAGTTGTCATTTTTTGTAGCCTAGTTTTTGTAACTACGCAATTATTACTGGATGCTAGTTTGTTCTGAAAACAAATTTTCTAGTAATAGATGTTTTGCACCATCTTTTTCCCATGATTTTCTAATAATATATGTTTCACACAATTATTGGTGGTGCTGAACGCATATGTGCCATCTTTTGCCATGATTTTCTAGAAATATAAAATAAATTTTAGTGGGTGCAATGATATTCATTCTCTGCTCATATGGCTTCTGCAATGATGTAAAATGGTGTGTGTCTGTTTTCCGCTCGACTTGTAGGTTAATGATGAATAGATTATGCATGGCAACTTTTAAAGAATTGTTTTCTATTGTACTTCTATGGCAATTCCCATGCATCTTGTTAATTTTTCCATGTCAATTAACATGTTGTTTAGTGGTGCCATGGCAATTATTAGATCAATCATGACAAATTTGAATTCTTTGAGTTCATTCACATGGAAAGTTTTAGATATTTGTTGATAATGGTCATATGTGTAATGTAGGAAAATTTACTTCATGCACCATGGCAATTTCATTTTTAATATAATGGCAAATTTAATTCATGGACCATGGCAAATTCTTTTTTGTATCATGGAAATATTATTTCATGGGCCATGGCAATTTTACTAAAGAATAATTTTTCATATCATCTTTTATTTCTCAAACATGGTAATATTAC